CCGCGGAGCCGTCGATCGGAGCGTGTCATAATCATACAAACATATGAAACGTATAATGCACATTATTTATGCTATACTGCCAAATTCAAAACTAGAAATTTAAATCCTATAATGCAGTACATGTCTTGATAGGAATCCGAGAAGCACACACTCCTTACTCACCACAAACTCTTATGGGCATGCACACAGCAATTTATATTTATATATCGGCCATTATAGTCAGGCGTGCAAGCTGGAGGTATACAATTCACGTTTACAACGTGCGAACGTTATCTAACGGTCTACGACGCTTTTCATGGAGCTTTGCAATCCCGTCAGCGTCAGCTTACCGAAAACGAGAAATTGTATGTCCCTGCAAGCATACAGACTATCGTAAAGGCACATAAAATCTAAGTATATAAGTTTAAATTTTTGAGCTACTATTTTGTTATTAAACTAAATGATATTTTTTTTATTTTACATGTTAATGTTATTCCTTGATGAATTCTAAATCACACTAAACAACACTACCTATTGTAGTTTAAAATGCAGACCACAAACTCTGAAAGTCGTGGATTTGAATCGGCCAATCAATTACCGTCGTAAACCACTCCTAACGCAAACATTTTAAACAAACTGTTGGTTAACAGAAGTATTAAAAATATTATTATTATTACTTTTTTTTACAAAACTGAAGTGACAAACCAAGATTCAGTCCACCCGATGGTAAGTGGCCACAGCAACTACTTCAAACAAAGATGGCTTTAGTTGCATTGTCACCTCTGAGGACTTTGATGTAATGCCGCACTGCCTGTGATTGTTGTACTGGCTATACCTTGTAGACCGGTACACAGCAGTAACTACAAACACTGTTGCTTGGCGACAGAAATATGTAAGAGATTGGAACTTATCAAGATAAACTACTACGCAGACAGAGAGTTCTGTCAATTGGTAATACTAGTAATCCTTTTGAAAAAAAAATGCTTGGATGTATTTCCTATTACACATTTTTATAAAATATCTCTTCGATAGAATCAGAACGTTACTTTGGGTATATTCCTTACAATAAAAATACATAAGAAATGCTTGAAATTTAATCTTAATGTGTTTTAGAGGCGAGACATTAATGCAGATATATTACATCAAGCAAATTATCATACATAATGCGTGTAATTTTTATTATACAGTTACAGTTTTGTAGGCTTATTAAACATTTAATTTTACCTTGGTGTAGTTACTGTTTTGAAGTTATACTTCTTTGGGCGCGTATAAGAAAAATGGTGAGAGAGATTTTTTTACGATGCGCGCGCACACCGACACTTAAAAACGACACCATGAAGTTGTTACGATGCGCGCGCACAAAGAAACCTAAAAGCGACAACCTCAGTTGGTAATTGTCTGTCAACTATCAAATTTTTGTGAGAACTGATAACTATATTCAAGGTAGTTATTGAAATATGTATGAATCTGTAAAACGTGTTTTATTTTAGTTATTTTTGTTTTGTTACGCTAAAGAAGTATAACTTGTTACTTGTTGTTGTTGTTGTGTACTTAGTACACACACACACACACGTTTTTTATATTATATTTCTGTATTTTTATTATTCTTGAGTTTGTATTTACGACTTCTGAAAAAAAACCATGCGTGAGTGTCGTGAAACACTCGATTGGAACAAAGTTCCTTTCGTAGTTTATTATTATTGACAAACGTATTACATTATTGATTAAAAAATCTAGAAATTTTCTATTAAAATGAAGCGTCATTTAAAATAATATTTCTTTTATGGCAAGATAAGAAAAAATGCGAGGGAGTTGGATATTATTCCGTCTCGCTCGCACTATAGAAAGGGTGTCGTGACGGAAAAATCATACACTTATTTTCATCTTGCTCCCAACCGCCAAATTCTTACCATGCGATAAGGATCTTCGTTCCAAAACAAATAAAGATTATAACTATCAAAAACCTTCGAGTACACAACAATCCACTAAAGTTTCCTGGTATAGGAGACACATTGAAAACGAACTATTAAACAATCAAATATTAGTTTAAAATGAAAATACTTTTATTCAGAATTGCCTTTTACAAAGCGCTTTTTAATAGTCAAGAATGCTACGCTATCTCTTCGACAAGACCCACCTGCGGTACGGTACACCTTGAGAGAAGAAGTAACAAACTCACAAGTGGACTATCTTTCAATCGACTTCAAAAAAAGGAAGGGATTCTCAATCGGACCATTCGATTTCTTTTTATTTTTTTTTATGTGTAGTTACCCCAGTACTTACTTCTAGGTGAACCGATTTTGATGATTCTTTGATTCTTTTTTATTTGAAAGCAGGTGCTTCTTATTTGGTCCCATATAAATTTGATCAAGATCTAACCAGTAGTTTTTGAGTTATTCTTAATAATGCGTATTTGATTGACTACATTGATGATATTCTCATTTTATTTATGTTGAAGTCGGTTGTATAAAATATACATAAGTAAAAAAAGTATCAGAAAGCTTATTATGTAAATTATAAAAATATTACAATATCCTTTTTTCATTAGAATGATTTTTACATGCGTTTTGAATTTATGCAAAATTAATTATATTTAACGGCTCGATTACGCGGATTACCACACGGATCCCGCACGGAACCTGCACGGAACAAGTTAGTATTTGAATGACATACAAATAATTGTTTGTTTTCGGGTCTGAATCTTTGTCCACGTTTTATAACGTCTAGATGTTTGTTTATGGCAAGAGGGTGGCATAAACACAAACGGACTCCTAGAAAGAAAAAGATCCATGGGACCTTTTAAACACATTAACTTATTAATACATTATTAGATAATCATCATCATCATCATATCATGATCATCGTCTCCAAAAGGAATGGCACAAAACACGGTCCTGAGCCAACTATAACCATTGACTTACCAGGTTGTCACTCTATCTAATGAATGCATCCCTCTACACTCCGCTCTCCTGTACAAGGCTACCACTGGAGAACCCACGAGCAAAGTTTTGATAGCCTATTAATAAGTATCGTACCCAAAAATTAGTCAACATTAACGACGCCGAAACCCAACTCAAGTAAAGCTGACTAAAGACCTCGCAGAGTTTTAAGGTTAAAGGCCGGTCCTTTAGCGTGCGAAAGGAAACTTAATACAGTTGACAAGAATGTGCGGTGGACTCGTAAACCGGATAATGTCCGCTACCTGCCACCTGCAGACCCTCTTCCAGTGTACTGTCTTTACGCTTTCTACATAAATTTATCAATTATCTAATCTATATTTGTTAAAATCGTTAAATGGTTTCATAAGAAATAATATTTTATTAAAATTAAAAGCGCTGATAAATCGTTTCACATTTATTTTTTTAATTGCCCATTCATTTTATTATATTAAACATTATTACACAATCCTATAAGACATTAGTGTGAAAAATAGCCAAGGTTGAATTAAATAAATCAAAAAATATATATTTTACCACAATCGCTATTATATAATATATATTAAAGTAAAATTAACTAGAGGATTTCCATACTTTATGGTGATACAGAAGTCTCATTTCATTGAATAATTAAATAGAATAGCTTTACTTGATTATTTACGCTAGCATGAGATCACCGATGTAGTTTATCGCACCATCTGGTAACTTTTCACAGGAATTTCACCTGTATTACGTGGATATAAAGTTGACGGTGCTGTATGCGTTGTGAACAGATGTAATTAACTGCACCGCCGAGTGTACGGACATAATTTTCACACTGACTTCATAATTTACAAACGGCACGCCACCCCACTGGAAGGGTTAGTATTACTGCGCTGCGCCGCGACGTCATTAGCGCCCAAGCGAAATAAAATGTGCAATATAAAAGAATGACTCGGCGTTACGGCTCCCAGACTAATTATCTGCGTAAAATAGGCCGAGAGATGTGTGAAAATACACACAATTTCTATGGTAAATAGAAAACAAATTACGTTGTTATATAGACTCACGTCGATTTATGATGTGCGTAAAGAGAAATATACCTACCGTTATAACGTACAAGGAAATGCGTTCAAAAAGGCTGATCTAAAATATTACAGCCTTACCAGCGTGAAGGTACTTCCACATTATGTTGTTATTATGGTTATATCTGCCATCTTTAAAAGGGATCCACTGTATTTTTTAAAGGCATAAGGTTGATGATGATAATGACACATTCCACTGGATAGTAAGTGAATGTGGACGTTTCTAGACACCTATGTCTATCATCAATTAAAAATCAAAATGAAAATGCGTTGTCACCACCGAAGACTATTATGGAATACTTCGTTAAGTAAAGGGTATCCGGTTGACTACACTGACCATACAAAACACACCATCATTTTGCTACACCGATCGAGCGACTGCCACGAGCATACCTTCATTATTTATTATTCATCAACTACTACAATCATTCATTACAGTCCATATCAATAGTCTACTGCTGCACATAAGCAGCTTCCATCGATTGCCTTATGGAGGAGGGGGGGGGGGGGGGAGATACGCGCATATAATAGTAATATTTTTTTATAGGATAAGGGTGTCAAACGAGTACGCAGTCCACCTGATTAGTAAGTGGTTACTGTGGCCCATAGACATCTATATCTATCCTCGATTACTAATTAAAATGCAGATGCGTTTTGACCCGTGAGACCTAAGATGGAATGCCTCGTTTCCAAAGGGTCTCCGGTTCTCTACACTTACCATACGAAACACAGCAGTTTTAAGCTGCTATTTTACGCTGGTATTCTGTGAGAGCGTGGTCCTGCCCCGGTCGAGCCGGCCATAATATGGATGCAGCGTGGCTCTACTAATTTAAACATCATCTATTAACAGTGTTATATCTGCAGCCTTAGTTCCGTAGTCCTAACTCGGTCGAGCTTGACCCATTCGTGCTACAACTATACTATTAATATAGCTGCAACATGGCTCTACCACGTAGAATCATAAATACGTATTGTAAAAATTATTTTTCTGAACTTTAATTTTAACTTTATATTGTTACAGATCTCCGCACGATACTAGACTGTAAATATCCATATGATACACAAAGCTCATGACTACGTGAGGTGAGTACATATTGCACAGTTACTTGAGAAAATGTATATTTTGTACATTTTGTTACATTTTTTCGTTAAAAGTGTTATATATGTGTATAATATATTACAAGTGTTTACCTTACAAATATTATCCGTTACCGTTACAGCCTATCAAAGTCCACTGCTGAACATAGGCCTCCTCCGTAGGTCATAACTGCCACGTATTTCAAGCGGATTGGCAAAGGAAGACGCTGCTGTCCATCTCCTAATTTGTTTACTCTGTCGCCCCATATTATCCTCATTATATGGGGATAATATGGGGTAATGGATAGTCTTACACCGCCACTACACGTATAATTCTATTATAATGATTTATAATTCTACCGTAATAAACATCTTGTAAAGTGCCCCTATAGATAGCGCTATAAGAAAACTAAGATCAAGTTAGGATAACGTATTGGTAATCCCAATAGTCTCTTCGATATGAAGTTACAAACTTGTTAAGAAAGAATCACTTACTGCAAAAAATGACTAGCTCTCGTTCAAACTACCATACTGTGAGAAAAATTACATAATCCCCAAAAAATACATTTAATCACTGGATAAATATTAATGGATTCTTGTAATATTTTCTATCCGGCCAACATCATTCTCAAGGATAAGAACAAAAAAAATGCGAAAAAAGATGGGACAAAACGGTAAGACTTAAAATCGAAAAGGTCCATTCATTGAATCGAAATCCCTTCCAAGAACACTTCGCATAATGCGATACCACATTTATTCTGTTTCATTGATACAGTGAATACTATTACTATACGGTCACTGTGTATAAAATGATCGTTTTGTATAAAATAAAAATATACCAAGTTGTTTGAAAAAATAATGAACCCTAACTCGGAGGGTTTGCTTGAATAAATACAGACGCAGTTGGCTAAGTGGTCTGTGAAAACAATTCTGTCCTAAGAGCTTACACATTTTTGTAAGATGTAAAAGGGCTAGCGCTCAAAAAGATTTATTTTCTCTTGCCTAATAATAAAATATTTTATCAATCGCATCGTATAAAATAACGACTTCACTTTTTAGATCCGACTTCCAATTCGCCTGTATGTTTGCTTTTTTTTAAATAATGTTACGTGATATCTTCATCAATTCTGAACCCATAAAGAAAAATTGCCCTAAAGGTGGCAAAATAGGCAGAAAAAATAAAAATGGAGTAAATGATGTTTTTAAAGTAATTATTTAATACAACATTTAGTTGGGATATTCATTAGTCCACTCTAAATTCTGAAGTCAGGGCTATAATTTGCCGATATGTCGTAGGTTTATGATCAAAACAGGTTTAAAATTTAACCTTAGGTTAGATTGATTTTCTCATAAAACTAAATTAGTCTAGGTTTTTGATCTAAAACCTGGATTTGTTCAGGGTAATGATAAGATTAAGTTATAGTTTTGTCTTTTTCCAGTGTTGATAAAAAACTGATTTTATCATGAACCTACGATATATACTTTATATCTCAACATAGACTTCAGAATGTTAAATTAGCTTATTCTTTTTAGGTTGAAGTCCGTTTTTACTTTTTTTTACCACAAACATCCTCCTCTTAACTTTCCTACGGACGTTAAGATATGAGTACACTACCAGAATATTTATTGAATGCAGAATTAATTTACAAAAAAATTTGTTTTTATTGAACACCAAAAGTGGCTTAAGGAGAGTATAGGATTTTTTTAAATAAAATTATCGAAGTAAAAAACGAAATAACAGTCCAACATATGGTAAGTAGCTACCGCAATGACACCTGAAAAAAACTTGAAACAAATAAGGCTACAGATGCGTTGACTACGATAGAATGCCTCGCAAGCTGTAATTATATATATATATATATATATATATGTATATGTATAGTTGGATAGATAGAGATATAGATCGGAACACAGCAGTGCAAGCACTAAAGCATAGATAAGAGTTTTTTTTCTAGGATAGGGTGACAAACGAGCATACAGTCCACCTGATGGTGAGTGGTTGCTGTGTCCCATAGGTTTATATCATCAATATGCAGATGCGTCGTCACCCGTGAGGACTAAGATGGAATGCCTATTTTCCAGTAAAATGGGTCTCCGGTTCTCTACACTCACCATACGAAACACAGCACTGTCAAGCTGGCATTTTACGCTGGTATTCTGTGAGTGTGATGGTCCTTCCGTGTTCGAGCCGACCCATTCGTGCTACAACTATACTACTGTACTACTGATATAACTGCAGCATGGCTCTACCACGTATAAAACGGTTGGTAGGTAAGAGGTAGAAAAGTAGTCGTATCACCTAGAAATCATATCTCTATAAAAAATAATTTATTCCTTACTCCCACACTGAGTGGAACACGAATACGTGCCGCGTGCGCCGCGCTGCGCTTGTGCATTCGTCGCGGCCACGAGCGGCGCTAATATTATGCGTTTGCGCATTTTACATTCAAATAGCGTTCCGACTCGCCTCGCGAACTGAATAAAAAGTAGAAATTAACTTTTTCTTATTAGTAAAGAGCTTTAATAGAGCTATTTTGTATATTTCACTGCACGTGGCTGATTTGGATGAGAAAAATAAATATCTTTAAATTTAAAAAAAAATTATAATTTCTTCTAGCGCCTGTATTATTGAAACACTGCATCGTATTTATGTGCTGCTTATAATTATGCTTATTTTTTTTTTCAGTCTCAAATAAAAAATATGCGTGAGTGTCGTGGAACACTCGGTTCGAACAAAGTTCCTTTTGTAGTAGGTATATTATTATTGATAAACGTATTATGCCATTTATTGCCCATTATTCGTCTATATGTCACTGTGAGTTCTAAGCTTTGCTTAAAATATCTTTTGATTTCCACGTGTAACCTTTTTCTGACTTAACTCTGTACTTAAAATCACTAAAGGCCGTACTATTTTTACAAATTACAATTAATCTTAAAAAAAATTGAAAACATAGGTACTCCAAAAAGCTAATAATAATAAAATATTTTCCACCTAAGTGCTATTAAAGTTTAGTTAAGACAAAGAGCATCAAAGATTTTCATTTTTTTCATTTTTTTATAGGATAAGGGTGACAAACAAGCACACAGTCCACCTGATGGTAAGTGGTTGCCGTGGCCCATAGACATATATCTTAAATTAAAGGTGTCAGGATCGTGCCAAATGGAAGTCCGTAGTCTCTGCCTACCCCTCTGGGTGACAGGCGTGCGTATTTACGCATGGATTATGTTATGTAGAATTAAATCCCAGACTTCAGTGGCTAAAAAATTACTTGGAAATTATTTTAATCTTTTTAGTTTTTTATAAAACCGCATTTATCTAAAGTTTAATTATTTGACCTTTTGAGAGGGCTAAACAACAAAAAAGTGACCACTATAACATTGTATAACTAGTAAGTTACATTTATAACTTCATCCCCTATTTTTCTACCTTCAGTGATAGAATTTTTTCTAAAAATTTAAATATAGCTACAGAGCTAAAATGCATTTAATAAAAAAAATGCAACAATAAAAACGGTTCACTATCGCCGATGATGAATGATATCGCATAACACACACACACACACACACACACACACACCCGAAACAGTCGAATTGAGAAACTCCTAGCTTTTTATAAGTTCAGTTAGGAAGGAGTTTATCTAAAATTTAAAAGATTATCATTTATATATTATGGAATTCAAAAGATAATTCTGTTTACTTATTTTAATAATAAAAATGTTTAATTTTAATTTTAAAACAAAAGGAACGGTGCTATTTTATTTAATGTTTTCGCATTATATGTATTTTCCGCATTAAAATAAAAATTATGGTCTTAAAATCGTACAGCGGCAAGGTACATAATCCACAACAAAAGAGGTCACATGGAATCCGTACATTACTTCTTTTGTGGTACTTTCGTATGCGCATGCATATTGCATGAAGTCTCATGTATGCTTCCGTTTATTTTCGTGCCATTTTATAGAAAGCGTTTAAAAATAAAAACCAGAACAATATCATCCAGCTTACACTGGTAATGCGGCATCAGATTCAATACACCTGCGCATAAAGTTGCGTTTGTATATTCAGCGCGATTCGTTTGGTTTGAACTTAACGTCTAAGCGATAAGCGAGAACGTTTTTTCATAATCTACGAGTATTTTATTTATGTATTTTTATTTATTTGGTTAGCACCTTAAATAAAAGGATTACCATGGGCGGACTTAATGCATTTTGGCAACATCTCTCAAAAATAGGACAATAGAAAAAACATTAGCTAAACGAAGTACAGAAATAATATTATTAATAATACTGTTGTATTAAATTGCATTTTAGTATTATTACTTATAACGTTATCGCCGTCAATTCTGCGGATCACATCATATTCTACTCCAGTATATCCTCAGCGATGTGAATATTTTTATAGAAGAGGAGGCAAATGAGTTCGCGGCTCACCTGATGGCTTGTGTCGACCGCTAGCCGTGAGCAACTGCAACACCAAGGCCATTGCGGGTGCGTTGCCGGTTGCCGTTATAAAAAGGAGTAAGCTCGTTTTTTGAACGTCCCTGATTTGTATCGGTCCGGAAAAGTTGTGCTAGCCGATTTTACAAAGAAATCGTATGAGGGAGAAAACTAAAAAATAATTTAAATTTAAAAGATTGAGATCTGATGATTAGTTTAGAATTTATATCATGCCTGATATAAATTCTACGTCTAACGTACTCGTCGCAACGGACATATATGCATACGAAGCAAAAATATTACTCTTTTTTTTCCACCGTATAATATACTTTAACGTAATAACAATTGGCTAATAACTGTAAATTGAGTTGTTCGTTTTATTTTTATGGGATAAGGGTGACAAACGAGCACACAGTTCACCTGATGGTAAGTGGTTGCTGCGGCCCATAGACATCTACTCGTACATCTATCCTCAATAAAGAATCAAAATGCAGATGCGTTGTCACCCGTGAGGACTAAGATGGAATGCCTCATTTCCAGTAAAGAGGGTCTCCGGTTCTCTAAACTCAC